CTAGCGACCGCTGCCGGGAATCAGGGGGGCTTCCAAAAGTCTTTTAAGCCCAGAATGTTGATCGAGTTTTGTTGCTCCGATGATTCAAAGCTTAGTACCCCAAGAAAGTCCAATGAAGATTGCCACTGCATTAGGGTTACCGAAAAAGAAGATGGTACCACTATCAGCTGTCGGCAACGGCTAGCCTCCCAAGTAAAAGATTTCAGAAGCGACTTCAATGACGGCACTTTGATACTTTATGCATCATTGCCTTGTGTCGGGGGTAGCCCATGGGGGAACGTCAATGGCCTCACTGTCGAGGGTCAAGAAAGAATCAAAGAGCAACAGAAACAGTTTACCAAGTTGTTCAAATCTTTTGTCAAACTTGTGGATGAAATTTATGATGAACGAACCTTGATAGCATTTGAACTGTCCAAGAATTGCAAATATTGGAGATGGCCAATTGTTAGAAAATTCCTTATAGAACGATCCATGACTACTCATCACTTTGATGGTTGCATGTTGGGTGTTCTTGGAAACAACGGTCAACCAATGAAGAAAAGTTGGACCATTGCGGGAAATTTCAAAGAACTTGCGATGTTAGATTCCTTCAAATGTGATGGCAAACATGAGCATGATCAAAGTAGGGGCAAAGCTCTTAAACTTGCTGAGAACTACGCTTTCAAGCTGACTGACATGCTCCATGAGTGTTTCCGGGTAGCTGTGGTGGGCCAAACATCCAAAAGGATTTCACCCGCTGTCATTCGTGCCTGTCCTGCTAAAATGGCTGACTCGCGATATGCCACAGCACACCCGGCCAGCCGCGAGGCTGCGCTCGAAGCCACACGTGAAGCGAACAAAGAAGCATGGTTACTCCTTCACAATCGCATTTTGTTTGCATTGGCCATGCGCAATGAAGGTGAGACTCAGGTTTCTCAGGACCTCGTGGATGGATTGATGACCGAATGGACACCGGCCTCGGCCCTGAGGTTTTACGGTCGTGAAGATCCGCTCGCAGAATATCTTAGCTTCTGCTTTTTGCCAAAAGAGTCCCACATCGAAAAGATCATGTTGCCAGAGATGCCTGTCAATGAAGTAATCTGGATCTTAGTCTCCGACTCGTCATGTGCACTGATCACAGGGCGTAGGAAAACACTTAAGAAATACGATCTGTCTGAGCATTTTCAGCAGCGTAAACCTAAGTATGTGACTGAGTTCATCCATGAGATGCTTTGGGGCAAAACTCTGCAGAAGTTGGTCAAACGTGGGATTGAATTGGCCGCGGACGCCCGCGAGCGCTATCCTGATGCCCGCATCAACCTGCATTTGTCCTGGTTCGGAAATGAATTGGTAGGTGAGGATGGGATTGCCCAAAATCCAAATTGGCCATACGACGGTCCCAACGGGCACTGGCCCACGATCATGGATGATTGTGAACGCCACTTGACCTGGTTCGTCAACAAAGCCCGTGAATTGGATTTGCAATCGGCCGGTCTCACCACCGCGCCCTGGTCTGCTCACTATGGCATTCATCCGATTTTTGACCAGTTCTTTGAAACATTGGAACCAAAGTTCAAAGCCTTGACCAGCAGCCTGCAAGGGCTTGCCAATCCGAAGTTTCCATGGTTGCGTGCAAAGGGGTACGCCGATGCAATGGAATTCAGAGACCAGTGGCATTTCGCCAACTCTGAAGAAAATCGCACACGGCTCTCTGCGTACTGGACGGCAACTTTGTTTGCCATTGACTGTGGATGGCGGGTTGGCCGAATAGGGCTTGAGCTTGCTCAATGTGGCCAGGAAACATGGGATGATTTGCGAAGGAACATGAGCGCCGTCCTCGACGAGCTGCCAAGATCCTATCAGGAGACATGTGCAAACATCACCAAGTTGCTTTTTGGAGAGTCCCGACGACATATCACTCCGACGGGCAGGTCATTCACCAGGGAAGATGTTGAAGCTCAACAACCTGACACAGAAGACTACATCGACGTCAAGACGATGCCTTCTGGAACCTTTGCTGAGCCTCCCAAGGATGATCCTCCAAAAACGGCCGCCGGCGACGGCGAGCCCGCCACATCCAGCAGACAATCATGGTCCAAACAGCTGAGGTCTTGCTGAAGTCGCGGCCGAAAGCAGCACCGATCCCAGTGGCCGAGTCTGCAGATGACACAAAAGCCACATCAAGCCAGTACCAGCCGCAGGCAACTGCGCGCTTAGAGGAACATGCATCTGGTCACGTGAAAGCATATTGGATGGAGGAGCATTTGCCCGAATACCAATATACAATGGTAACCAATGCAAACGGGGACGAGGTACCCGGTATCCTCTATGAAGGTACGGCCTACGAACTGGAACTGCTGTCGGCATCCGACGTCGAGACCATTGCCAGCCAGACTCGCGTCGACAAGAAGTTTTCCGATTTTGCAACCCGTGTCAATAAAGTTTGCAGGGGGCATGGATCCTGTGCCAAGGTGCCAATGGACAAAGACCTTTGGATTGACTTGGAGGATTTTGCCAAAGCCTTCCGCAAGGAAGTGCCCCCAGACGTTTTCATCACCGTCTCAAACCTTTTTGGCACCGCAATGAAAATCGACAAGCATGGCAAGAGTAGGTTCCAATTCTTGTGTGCAAAGATTTCCCATTTTCCTGTCGACAATGGCTTAGGCATGCCGTATTATCCTGTGAAAATTCGTGCAATTCAGGGTCATTCCCAAGCTGCTTTGAAAACCGCCGGGGGTCTTTATGCCAATTCAACCATGGTGTATTGCTCAGACCAAGTCTCCCCCGAGCGAAAAGCCGCCTTCACAGGCGTGCCCTTGTGTGCAATGACTGAGGTCTCTGAAACTGTTTTTCATCGCACGATGAGAAGCAGTTGGAAGAGCATCGCACAGAACGGCCTGATCCCAGGCGGCGGTGACTCAGTCAACAGTGGCCGTGCTCACATCTACATGGCAGAACACTGCATTGGCACACAGGGATATCGATCTGGATTAAGAGCAAAATGTCCAGTCGAAATCAAAATCGCAATGCGGCAAGCAGTTGAAGCTGGTGTCATCTTTAGTCGCACAGAAATGGATGGTATTTTGTGTTCAGAACGCATCCCACCCCAATTTCTGGTTAGCATCTCAGAGGATGGAAAGTTGCTTTGGTCCCGCGCAGAGAGCAATCTCGAGCCCAGCACATGGACAGGCGCGGAACCAGCTTCATCACCGAAATCCAGAACGGTCACCTTGACTGCCCGAGGGCGCGCCGTGTTTACGTTGCACCAAAGTACTGCGAACCTTTCATGGGCTCCTGCCCCCTCTGTCAGGTCGAGTACGTCAGTGGCCAGGTGACATGCACCACATGTGGATATGAGCCACTCCCAGTGGACGAAAGTGGCGAAACAAAAAGGGCCGACCAACCCAATAGGAGGACCCGCATCTTGGAAAGGCGAATGCAGAGTCTCGCCGGGTTCGGAATGTTCGGCAAAATGAGCGGCACCCTGTTGACAGCTTTGACCAATGAACAAGCCGATCTTCTTCGCCGGGAACTGGGCCCAAGGGGGATTACATCCATTGAATCAGCAGTCCTCAAAGACTGCCGCGACAGACACAAACGTGCAAAGACACTTGGCTATGAAGACGTGGAAGATCGCTATGCAAGTGATGTTACGTTTTGTGACCGCGTTCATGGAGAAGGGAAGGGCTTAAAGGAATGTATTTTTGACGATATGTTCGCGTATGCCAATCTTCCAGATCCGCCCCGCACCAGAGCCCAGGTCTCGGCTGGCGTCGCCGCCAATGCCCAAAATGAAAATTGCTTGTCAAAGTTGATTTTCATGTCCCAACCTCGAGGTGTGGAAGGGTTCCCAGTTGAATTCCGCAAGACATGGAAGAAAACTTGGGGTTTTATGTTCGGCCGCCACGTGTTTACAGAAGATGAATATGTCAACTACATCGGCCGTCGTGGCGCATTTCGTGGCCTGCTGACCTGGAAGGGCACCGTCCAAGTCCCTTTTGATGGCACTCTTGAGTTCCTCGAAAAGCTGTATGAGGATAACCTCCCATTGGTTCGGGGCAACCCTGAACGCAAGGAGAAACAGAGCGCCGCTGCAAAGGCTGGAGGTCCTGGAGGTCACAAGGCCGACCCCACGGTCGCGCCCACAGTCGAGCGAAAACGCAAAGCCGAAGTTGACGCATCTGCCACTGCACATGACGACACAGCCGCCTCAAGCTCCGCTCACGCGGACGCCTCGCACGTTGATGCCTCATTTGGTCCCAAAGCAGCACCATTTCTTGCACCTGAGCCACCAACACCCAAAGGAGGAGCACGACCATTCTTGGAGCCTGAGACACCGCCCACTGCAAAAGCAGCAAGCACAGTCGCACCAAAGGCTACAAGCTCCGGTCGCCCGGATGCCTCTTGGAGTTGGAATCGTGATCACTATGGTGCACGTCGGGAATGGGGTTTCTGGCGTGGGGCTTGGTATTACCGTGACGAGGCCGGCGGCCGTTGGATCTATTGGAACCGCAGGTAGACGATGATTTTCTTTTGTAGCATAGCGCAAGATGCGGCATGGTAATGTGCCTTCCTTGCAAAGCTGCGCTGGGTTTTACGGGCTTGAGCTTTTTAGAGGGACCTTTGAAAGACTGCATAAAATCTAAAACCAAATAAAGAAATTTGGCTACCCGCGAGGGTATGCTCTTCTGGGTTATTCGTTCTCCGCAGTCGTCCCTGCTCGCCCGAGGGGGGTGTAAAAACTCCTGCAGTAAAACCATGTAGTGTATATATCATCGATCTACTCTGTAGCGTTGGTTCAAAACAGTGCCAGCAGCTGAACGGTTCTTGCCCCCATTTAGTATTTAACTAATTGTTGGCTGACCTTGTAAAATACATATTTTATGCGATTTTTCACCTTGTGTCATGATGTTCACGACATTTTACAAAATATTCACGAGACTTTCATAATGCACCATGGTTGAGGATGCCTTGGAAGTTCCATCTGATCTTGGATCCGCAAATTGAGGGATCTGCCCAAGGAAAAGTGACGCACTTTGTATCATGGTGTTGGGCCTACACCTTGGACAACGTGGTCACAGCTGTGGACCGTTGGTTGCAAAAGTCGGAAGCAGATCCAGCAGATGTATTTCTGTGGATCTGCTTCTTTTGCAACAACCAATATCGTATCATGCAAGAGGCCGGAACGCCGTTTTTTTTCCCGAAAGACGGGTCGAAGGGCGCTTCAAAAAAGGGAATGTCTCAGACTTGCATGTCTAACACTTGCATGTCCTGGCTAACATCTTGAGTTTCTACATTTGGCATTGTGTGTGATGTTGTTGTCGAACACTTCTATGTCCTGGTTAACATTTTGACTGCCACATCTGGACATTGCGTGTGATGCTGCTGTCGATGCACACCTTGTATCAGGTGCCCGTCACACTTGCATGTCTCACACTTGCATGCATTGTTGAACAATCAGTCGCTCTTGCATGTCACCTTACATGTCTCTTTGACATGTGTGACTTACATGTCTGCTTATACATGTCTCCCTGACATGTCCTTCTTCGTACATGTCCTGACTATGTCAACTCATACGTCTCCCTCCTGTATGTCTCTCTTACATGTCTCTCTCAATTTGTGTCTCTTACATGTCCTCGTACATGTCTCTCCGACATGTCTCTCTTACAAATCTCCCTGACATGTTTCTCTTACATGTCTCTCTCGCATGTTTCTCTTATATGTCTCTCTTATACATGTCAGTTTAAAACATTTCAAATAGAATGGGCTAACGCCCGGGTGCCGCCGACCCCCCTTTGAAGCCCCAACAAGACAGTGTGGCTAGGGATTGAAGGCTAGCAAACGGTGGTCTTGAAGCCGCAACAAGACAGTGTAGGCTTGGACGCCAAGAAGAAGCGATTGATCTGGCCTTGGGGTAAAAGCCTTTTAAGGGTTTAAGGCCTGGCAAATGGCAGGCTTGGACGCCCATAAGAAGCCATTGATGTGGCCTTGGGGTGCCTGTTGGCTGCGGGATGAGGCATGCCAAGAGAATGTTTAAGCGTTTGAAGGGTTTGAAGCCTGTAACGCCTGGCGAACGGCACGCTTTTAAGGGTTTTAAGCCTTTTAAGCCTTTTAAGCCTTTTAAGGGTTTAAGGCCTGGCAAACGGCAGGCTTGAACGCCCATAAGAAGCCATTGATGTGGCCTTGGGGCGCCTGTTGGCTGCGGGATGAGGCATGCCAAGAGAATGTTTAAGCGTTTGAAGGGTTTGAAGCCTGTAACGCCTGGCGAACGGCACGCTTTTAAGGGTTTTAAGGGTTTTAAGGGTTTTAAGCCTTTTAAGCCTTTTAAGCCTTTTAAGGGTTTAAGGCCTGGCAAACGGCAGGCTTGGACGCCCATAAGAAGCCATTGATGTGGCCTTGGGGTGCCTGTTGGCTGCGGGATGAGGCATGCCAAGAGAATGTTTAAGCGTTTGAAGGGTTTGAAGCCTGTAACGCCTGGCGAACGGCAGGCTGGACCACCCCATTGATGTGGCCTTGGGGTAGCTTGCTTGACCGCCAAGAAGCCATTATGTGGCCGTGGGGCTTTTGCGTGCGGGGTTGGGCGTGCAACGCCCTAACAAGAGAGGGCTGTGGAGGCAAACGGGAGGCTGATGGAAGCTGCCGCGAAGCATTGAAGCATTTGAAGCTGAGAAAGACAAGTTCCACACCTGCGGTGGTCCCAGGCGCCGCCCCTGCCTTGGCGAAGGCCGGGGTCGGCGGATTACATTGGAATGTGACTTTGCAGGTGAGTGCTGCGACCTCTTCTTGATCCATAAAAGGCCTAACAGCTTCGAAATGCCCGCTTCTCATGAAGCGCGTGTCATCTTTGTGCAGGGGCCAAGCTATGTCACATGTTCTTTCACGCGGCCCATCAAGCATGCACTCCCCGGTTTGACACCCAGAGTCTCAAAACAGAAAAGGCTACCACTACCTTCGGACAGCTGTTTCACAGCTCAAGGCCTTCATGTCAAAATTGTGTCGCGCAGACACCAACTCAAATTCATCATCAGAAACTTCAGTCGCAGGCATCACCGGTGCTTGATTGGGACGCAAATCTTTTCCAATATCTGGGTGAGCCCTTAAAAGGAGGATCTGCAAAGCCATCTCCAGGAGCCACAACGTTCTTGATAAACGTATAGCCCCTCCAATGATTCCAACCAGAGGTTCTTTGAATGCCTGCCCACTCATCCTCAAGGATTCTTTCGCACCGCTGATGAACCATCTCACAGTCCATCGTCCTGGAAAAAGTGATGTCGATGGCACAGGGCACGACTCGTGGATAGGATGGAACAAACGTTTGCGGGGTCGACGGACCAGCCATCCACGAGACACCAACGAAGATGAGATCTTTAGGTAAGCAATTATGCCTTTTGGTCTCTTTTTCATTCAGTCTAAGATCATGGCTTTTGCTTTGCCACTTCTTTGATCTTTGAATTACTGTCGGTCTCCGGCTGCTTTTAGCACCACTCCGACTATACATGTTTTTGACTTCGTCTTTGATTTGTATTTTGACTTTGTACCTTAAGCGAACAGTTGTTTCAACATTCGTTTGCATCATTTGGACTTCATAGTCTTTTGTCAACTTTTCTCGCAGTCTAGTGGAGTTTGGCTGCTTTGCGCTACTCCTGCACCTGCATGGAATTGTCAGGCATGTCAGATTCAGTGTTTAATCTTGCATCTCTTGCCTGGAATCATTGAGCTATGGACTTGTCTGTATGCGGCTCATGGGGTGCCATGGCGCCGACACTTATACCTCATGCGTGCAGAATCCGAAGTGGACCGACCCGGATTGTTCAGTGTTAGGGGGGGCTTGAAATGCATGGGTCAAATGATACCTCATACCTTTAAAAGGACTTTTCAACCCCGGGACCAGGTCATTTGTATTTAGCCTTTTGGCTCAAGTCAAAAGGCTGCAGCCGCTACCCCTTGGGCCACGCGCGTTTGTTCATAATTTATTTAGTAAGTGGGTGTTGATCGATTATCCTTTGTTCAAATTGTTTCTCGATTCATTTTCCTTTTAAATTCCTTTCGATATTCGTTGCAATCGGCACTTTTCCTCCTCCGGTGCTGCTTTGCGGAGATATTCTCATTGAAAGTAGCTTTGGCATTCTCGGAACATTCGCCTTGAAAATTCTTTTTAAAATCCGTTGCAAATCGGCTGCTGCTGCTGCTGCGGCTGCTGCGGCTGCTGCTGCTGCTGCGTGGTGGGGGCGCCGGTGCTGCTCATTTCGCGCAATTTCCTGTTGCGCTGGTGATTTTGCTGTACTGGTCATTTTCTCGCGTTGGTCATTCTGTTGCGCTGGTGGTTTTGTTGCGCTGGTGGTTTTGGTTGCGCTGGTTATTTTGTTGCGGTGATTGTGTTTGGCTGGTGGTTTTGGCGCTGGTTATTTTGTTGCGTTGGTGGTTTTGTTGCGCTGGTGATTTTGTTTTGCTGGTGGTTTTGTTGCGCTGGTGGTTTTGTTGCGCGGGTGCTTTTCTTACATTGTTGTGCTGGTGGTTGTGTTGCGCTGGTGACTTTGTCGTGCTGGTGATGTTGTTGTGCGGGCTTTTTTGTTGTGCTGGTGTTGCGTTGCGATGGTGATTTGGACGGTGGTTATGTTGCGATGGTGGTTTTGTTGCGCTGGTGATTTTGGTGGCGCTGTTGCTTCTGTTTTGCTGGTTGGCTTGTTGCGCTGGTGATCTTGGTGCGCTGATTATTTTGCTGTGCTGGTTTCGGTTGTGCTGGTGATTTTGTCACCGCAAAGTCACCGTCGCCACAAAACTACATCGCAACCAAATAACCAGCGCTGCAAAATCTCCAGCCCAACAAAATCACCAGCGCAACAAAACAACCAACGCAACCAAAACCACCAAAGCAACAAAACCACCAGTGCAACAAAACCACCAGCACGACAAAACCACCAGCACGACAAAATCACCAGCACAGCAAAATATCCAGAGCAAAAATATCAGCAACGCAACAAACACCAGCAAAGCAGAAGCACTAGCGCAGTGTTTTTTTGTGGTGGGTTGGTGATTTTTCACCATTTGCGCTGCCAAGCGGGCCTGCGAAAACTTCTGTTCCATGCCGCGCTGCCATGGTGTACTTGCAACTTTCTTTCTGCAAGCGCGTTCCGGTGCACAGTTTGCATGATGCGTGACCTTGTTTGGCATGACTTCTGACTTGCAAAATTATACATGTCAGTGCGCATGGCTTGACAATTTGCTGTGTAGTATGTCGAGTTACATGAACCAAGTGGAATCTACGCAGCTCTTCAGGCAAAAATCCCACGCGTCAAGTTGCAGATGAATGTTTGCCCGTGGATGTGTTTCTTTCGGGTACCCGCTCGGGATCTAGTTTCGTAGGTTCCGATATCATGAGATCATGAGATCACGAGTTGAATTTTTGTCGGAACTCACATGTGTTGTGGAAAGTGTGGGCACACCGGCACACCTCATCCATGTCCATGTGGGATCCATGCAGACGCCTTGATGCCTTGGAGGCGACCCAAGCTGGCAGCCAACATCTGAAGAGCATCTTCGAATCTCATCTCGGAGCTGCTGGGCGGATGCTGGTGCTCTTGGATGACATCAGGCCGGGTGACGTCGAGACACGGCAACAGAAACTTTCACCTTAGCCGTAGCCGCCTTGGCCATGACATCATGAGACCATCCTCACAGCATCTCAAATCCCAGAGGCGCTAGGCGCGGCATGGCATGCGCAATGGAAACACGAGGCGCATGTGAGTCCAGGCAACCCACCTATGTCTGCGGCTACCTGAACGACCTCCGCGCGGTTGCTGCGGGTCTATGCATTGCTTTCAGGCCTAGGCAGTGCACAGAAGCGAACAGTTCAGTTGTGGTGTGTGCTTGTTGTGCTTGCACTGACTTGCCACAGAAGACTTGGGCTGTGTCTTCCAGAACCAGAAATGCTTTGCAACATATCCTTAATGGCAATGGAGCAGGCAGCCGAGCAACAGCTCGAAGACGAAACAGAAACAAAGCAATGCGCAAGCTAATGGCTTCAATTTGCAACAGGTAGGAGAAATTCTCAAGCTGCTTACCCAGCTCTGCCAATTGTTGGGAATTGGGGGAGGCAGCGGAAAATTGTTTCAGCAACTTAGCACACTGATGGGTCAAGAAATTGGAGCTGTTGACACCTCCAAAAACAAAGGAGGGAAC